CACTTCTTGTTCACCTCTTGTGGCCCTGCCTGGGAGGCAGTTTCATGCCTGTGTTTTGTGGATGAAGAAATGGAGGTGGCAGAGAATAACCACAGCAAGGGAGGACCACAGAAAGGCCCAGAATGTAAGAGTCTGGGCCATCTGAACCCCAAGCCCAGCCTCTTTTCCGTGCGGGTGGATAGCGGGGTTGCCGAGCTGTTGCTCTGGCAGGGGCAGATAGGTCAGGAAGGTCACCAGAGAAAAGGCCTCTGCGTTCTTTGCAAGTTGTTTTCAGCCTTGTGTCCGTAGGGGGGACGCTATACTCCCTCCGGAAGTGACTATGACATTCTGCCCTGTTCCCTTGGAGCAGCTCTTCCCACGAGGGCTTGAGTGCAAGGAGAACAGTGGGAAAACATATGGCAGCTTTTCACGGACACGTTTCCGAGTGTCATTAGTTCTTGGAGGACACATTTCTCTGAAGTGCTCAGCTGTGCCTGGATCCTGAGTTTTTGAGGGTTCATATTCTAGGGACGGGTTTTGGATGTGGAAGGAAGCCACAATCTTGCAGCCAGGGAACCTGGTGTTTTTGGTGGGTGGTGATGCTGTTGTGTAGAATGTAGCCCCCTCCTGGTGAGATGGGGAGAATGAATGGAGCTGGGGGGAAAGATTTGTGCTCCGTTAGGGATGCTCAGATGGGTCCAAGGCAGACGGGGTAGCTCGGGGGTTGCTTAGTGGAAGTCAGATGATCAGATCCTAGCCTGCACCTGTGGAATCACAACTGCTGACCTGAGGTCCAGGGACCTGTGATGCAGGAGCACTGGAGATCATTCTCCTGCACCCTGAAGCCTGAGAAAAAAAAAGTGTAGCACCAGGTGAGCTGATACACCCTCGGGACTTGGGGTCTGGGTCCTGATGCCAGCCTCAGGTGCTCCTTGCCAGTGACCTTATCCAAGGCAGAGCTGTGGCTTACTCGAATCACTCGGAACAGGAATGGGCATCTCCAGAGTGTAGTCTCAGATTTCACAGGCTAAGGAGGAGGGGAGAAAAGCTTAGGAAGGAAGTGAACTTTTGAAAGATACATTTTTTTTCTTTTCTTTTTTTTTTTTT